CACTACTGCAACCATGCTGAGCTGAAGCGGGGTAACTTGAGGTCGAAAGCCAGCCCTCAGGGCATGTTGTTCCAGTGGCAATCATATCTTGATATTATCTGTAATATTAAGACTTACATGTATTTGAAAAGTAAAGTTATGGAGCGAGAAAGAGGGGGGTATTCAGATCTTCCATCCACTTACTGGTTCAATCCCCAAAATACTGCAACTGCAGAGCTGGGCCAATTCAAAGCCAGGAGGCAAGAGCTTCTTCCAGGTCTCCCAAGTGGGTGGTAGGGACCCAGGCACTTGGGTCATCCTCCACAGTTTTCCCAGATGCATTAGCAGGGAGCTGGATCAGAAATGGAGTAGCCCCAACTTGAACCCGAGCCCATATGAGATGCCAGCAGAGCAGTGATGGGCTAACCCACTGTGGCACAGCACCACAGTGCTATTATATTCTTATTCATTGATAGCATGTGTTACCAATAGTGGCAGTTTGTCATGTTCTTTTTTGTGAATAGAATGAAACTCCTCACATTTGTCATGTGCCCCAAATGCAAAAAAAAAAAAAAAAAAAAGTCAAAATTTGGCCCCCTCCCACTTGAATGCCTGAGGAAGAAGGAAGATCCTGGCTGACATCTGGCATCATGCCAAAGGCTTTCAGAAGGCTAAAACCTCCACTGCATGCCAGAGAGCTGCACAGGAAAGCTTAAATTTAAAGGGTCAGACACTTCTGTAACATGGATACAGATTGCACCGGAACGGGTGTGCACGAAGGTGGTGGAGCAACAGATTGGGTTTGATTCCAGCCCCCACTGGTGCTCGTGAGAGCCAGTTTGGGTGTAGAATAGGCGAGACTAGGTCTTGACTCCCTCTGAACTATGTGAAAGCTGTGTCTGGGTGTGGGCCAGGCAGTACTGTGCTGCAACAACCAACAAGAAACAAAATGGGTGTGGTGAGCAGAGCAAGGCCACTGCACTTGTCAGAACAGGAGGTGGACAAAGTCAACCTGGACCGGTGACCCACTGGTGTGCGAGAACTGCCACTGGGAGGAGACTCAGGGATTTCATTCTTTATGCCTAAAAAAAGTAAGTAAACGGAAAGACACTTAAGCACTCTCTTGTCCCTATGAGTGTTTGCAGCAGAATTTGACAGCCAGCTGGCCTGTACTCTTGCTCCCTGTAATTCAAAATGGACTCTTTGCCACCTCCCTGCTCGTTACCTGATGGGTCTAATAACCTCCTGCCTGGCCCACAAGGATTTCCCCACTGGGAGATCGGAACCCGTTGGACAGCTGCCTAAGCCAAGGATGATGGGGCGTTTGGGAAATTCTTGCAAGCTTCTCCGAGTTATGTAGATTCTGACTGTTCTTATACAACATGCTGTGTGGAAACCTCTTGAATCTCTGAGGGAATTAAAGTTCCCAGCATCCCTGCACGTACTGCTGCACTGTCCTGCTTCTGGTCCTTGTTCCCCCCGCCTCCAAGCCTCTGCTTCCCACTCTCTATGGGGACCTCGGTGGCTCCGGCTGCCACTTCTTTCCCTTCCTGCAAGCTGAGCTCCCCCCGGGGGGGGGGGCTGGTAGCCTCCTCACTGAGCCCCCAGCACAGCCTCCATCCAGGTCCCTTCCCCCATTAGAGGGCAGGCGGCCCCACGGCAGACACCCCAGAAGCTCCCCCCACCCCACACCCTGAACACCCAGATAGATCCTTCACACTCATGAATCCTACCCTACAGGGAAGCCTCGGCTCCCCCGGGCCGGAAACCGTGGTGCTTTTTCCCCTTCCCCCAGGCTCGATTAAAAAACCAAAATAAAACTCTGAAACTTTACAAGAGCAGAAAAACTTCAAAAACTTCGTATCCTTTCTAGAAGCCTCTACCTCTGAGCCACCCCGCAGGTCCCCACATCACTGCCAGGCGGTGGAGAGCGACTCGCCAAGCCCTGCGCCCCATCCTCATCTTCTTGATGTGGGCTGCAGTATCCTCCTTTATGTTGTATTTTACCAGCACTTGAGAATCTTGTTGCATCTCTTTGGACATGACCTCATTTTTGATAACTGCCTTACGGGTCGCATATGGTTACTTGCGGGGAGGTCCTGGTTTCCACCCCCCTCTCCTTTTCTGGAGTGTTGAGTGGAGAGCAAAGCCAGGCAGGAAGGGCCACATCCCCGTCTATGGTGGAGCTGGGACAGGCTTACTGGGCCTGTGTGCTCTGGAATAGGCGCTGGCACGGCTCCGGTCATCCCCTCCCTCCCCCCAGTTTACAGTGTCATTGTTACTACTGAAGTAACTTAACTTGGTTAGGTGTGGTGCAGCTTAACGGCCACTCACCGCCTAGTGTCTAGTGTTGGCCATATGTTCCTGTCTGCTGACCCCAACTCAGGTTCCTATTGGCATAATGCAGCCTGCAAACAGGTGACTCTTGCCATTTGTCAATATGGAGAAATGCCTTGAGGTTATGGAATGATTTTGAATTTAAACAACTAGCCCTTAAAAACACCTGTTACTATGGTTTTGAGCCTTCAGGAGTTATCAAATGAGAGTTAACAAATTTTCTGGTTAAATTTCTGCATTTCTCAGGTGAGGCACAATAGTGTAACAGCCAAAGTCCTTGCCTTGCACATGTCTGGATCCCATATAGGCGCCGGTTCTAATCCTGGTGGCCCTCCTTCCCATCCAGCTCCCTGCTTGTGGCCTGGGAAAGCAGTTGATGATGTCCCAAAGCCTTGGGACCTTGCACCTATGTAGGAGACCCGGAAGAAGTTCCAGGCTCCTGGCTTCGGATCGGCTCACCTCTGGCTGTTCTGGCCGCTTGGGGAACAAACCATCAGATGGAAGATCTTTCTCTCTCTCTCTCCTCCTCTCTGTATATCTGCCTTTCCAATAATAAATAAATCTTTAAAAAAAGAGGTCAGATAGAAGGGTGGGTGTTTCAGAAAGTTCGTGGAAAACAGAATTAAAACGTGCTTAATTTGGTACAAAAAAAACTTTTAAATTTTATGTCTTTGTTCTTAGTGGTTCTTAGCTACCAAGCAGGCATTTTGCAGGCACTTAAGTGATTCCTCATGCCAGCTGTACTGGCAACCCTTTCTTAGCATAGTCAGCTCCTGTCACCCTCCCCGAACTCCCTTCTCTACTTGCCCCTTGCCACCACCCTTCAGTTCCTCCCTGCCACTCATTTCTTCCATTGTACTTACCTTGTTTCTCCCTTCAAAGATACAGTTATTTGTTTGAGAGGCACAGCTGACATCTGTAGCAATTAGAGAGCTGGGCCATCCTTCAGCCCAGAGCCAGGAAGTCAGCGGAGGTCTGTTACATCCTTCCTGAGGAGGTGGTAGGCAGCTGGAGAGTCATCCTTCCAGTGTTGTGGATGGATATGGGGGGGGGGGGTGAAGAGACTTTGGAGATCCGGGAGCCCAGCAGGTAACATGGATGAGCTGAACTGAGGAAGGTGGCTCAGTTGGGCCTGCTGGCTACTATAATACTTGGAGAAGCCCTTGTAAAGGTACCAGGTAGATGTTGCCATCTAGGAATGCTGACCTTGTCTTCTGATGAGAAAGAAGTCAGAAATCTGTTATTTCTATGGGAAATATCTTCATTTTAAATTTTTGATGAGAACTTCATGTTTTGAAATGCTGTGGAGGGTGTACATATTGCTTTCCGGGCCTCCAGTTTGCCACTCTAATCAAGCAAACCTGCAGCTCTGTTGCTGTTGGTGTCGCATCAGACAAGCTGACTTTTCCTTGGTTGCCAGACATTTCTTGCTTGCTGGGAGTGAATGGGCATGAGTTTCGTGAGATTGACTTGGTGGCTCACGCAGAACTACGTGCAGGCATTGTCTGGTGCAGTGTGCGTGAGCGTCAGGGTGGGCTCGGCTTAGTGTATGAGGAAAGGGCGAAGGTAGAGGCTACGTACAAACTTTGCTTTCTTGGTTGTTAAAACATCCTGTCAGATTGTGACAGTCATTTCCAGAGTGGAGATGGTGCTAAAGCCAGCAGGACTCAGCTAGTAGAAACCCGAGACATTCCCAGAGCGTCGTCATGGTTTGTCTGTGGCTAGATTGCTTCTCCCATCTCTATCTGTATGTAATCTAATATTTTGTGACATTTTTAAAATGCTTTAAGAGCTAAACCTAGATCATTATGAGCAGAAAGCCAGTCACATAACTATGAATAGGAGTTAACTATGTGTACTGTACATACTGTATTAGAGTATGTCATTTTCATTCTGTATCACTAGGAAGATGACCTATACTTGAGAAAAGCTGCTTTAATAGATGGCCCATAAATGGGGTCCATACATGGATTTCAAAGTTTGACAAGTCCTTAATTTGCACAAAAATTTTTTAGAAGATTATAAAAAAACAAAATTTAAAGATGTCTATTTTGTTGCAAAGCAGGTTTTAAGAATTTTTATTTTTACTTGAAAGGCAAAGTGATAGAGACATCAAGTGAGCTACCTTCTGCTTCTGGGTCCTTCCCAAATGGCCTGGCCAGAGTTAGGAGCCTGGAACTCTGTCCTGGTCTCCCATGTGGTTGGCAGGGTTGTTCGCACTCGTGCCATCCCCTGCTGCTTTCCCAGGTGCCTTAGCAGGGAGCTGGATCTGAAGTGCAGAAGCAGGACTGAAGCAGGCACTCTAAGTTCTGATGTTGCAGGCTGTGGTTTTGACCTGTTCACAACACCAGCTCCTGCAAAATACTTCTTAAATCCATGAATAGTTTCTTTTCCATCATATGCATTTTACGTGAACTTTCTGATGGCTGCTACAGCACACAGGCATTACTCCATGGGGAGGATCCATCACTGAGCAGAGCACTGGAGAGATTCAGAACCCAGGGAGGAGTAAATACAAATGCCTGCAGTGAATGTGAAGTTTCTTAACCAGGTCGCATCAAACCTTTTGACAACTTACTCTGTCCAACTCCTTAAGGATTGGCCAGATTTACTCAAAAACCCACCAAAGCCTAAAAAACCACGTGCTTGCTTGCTCTCTCTTTTTTAAAAAAGATTTATTTATTGCTGCCTCTGAAGGTGTTGCAGGTGCTAGCCCCATCTGTGTCAGCAGGTGGCAGAGAGGAAGGCAGCCAAATCTATGCTCTATGCACTGACCTGTAGGCAGCAGCCCTGGGGCTGCACTGTGGTGTGAGGAGTGGGGGAAAATGGGGCCCCACAGGGACCCAAGGCCAGGGCCAAGCCTCAGTTGTCCATGCGTCTCAAGCATCTGTGGCCACCTTGACAATGTTCCCCTTGATGCTGACCACATAAGTGCCCAAGCAGAAGCTGTCTGGCGTGTGCATCCAGTACCATCCACACTCCTAGGCATCCCCTGTGGATGAGGACCTGATTTCTCTGCTGGCCACCCAGGTGGCTGCTGGCCTGGCCTGCAGTCTTGGTGAGGCGAAGTGAGCACAGCCCCTGGTTCCTAGGCCTGGGCAGACTCAGGCTGTAGATAGGACACTGCTCCAGGATGCCAGTGGGGCAGGCTGTCAACGGCAGGCCCTGGTGGGATGTGAGGACGCACCAGTCCTGGGGTGGGACTGTGGTGGAGGCCAACTTGTCACTGAGGTGCTGGTAGAATTTGAATATAAATGTTACTGGGTCTGTCCTCTGATCCACTCCCTAAGTGGCCACGATGGTCAGAGCTGAGCTAATCCAAAGCCAGGAGCCAGGAGCTTCCTCCAGATCTCCCACATGGGTGCAGGGTTCCAAGGCTTTAGGCCGTATTCCACTGCTTTCCCAGGCCACAAGCAGGGAGCTGGATGGGAAGTGGGGCTGCTGGGATTAGAACCGGTGCCGATATGGGATCCAAACAGGTGCAAGGCGAGGATTTAGGCATTAGGCTATTGCACCAGGCCCATCTTTCCTTCTGATTACATGAAGTGATAATGGGAGGTGGGGGCAAGATTTCTGAGGGCATAGGCTTTGGAATCATACAGACCTAGGAATCACCTATGGAGTGACCTCCATGTTCCAGATATATAGGTTTTGAGTATTTAAATGGAGGTCGCAGCTTTCTGTAGGGTTGTAGCAAGGATTATACAGTCATGTTGACAATGCCATGTGAGCTGGTGGCTTCTTTTCAGCTTTCCAGGGACATCTGCACAGTGAACAGGCACAGCGACCAGCAAGACCGGTGTTGCTGGCCTTTGGTCTTCAGATCCAAGCCCATCCTTTTGTGGGAGCGACATGTTTCCTCTGTGTAGGAAGCAGGCTGTTTTACTGACTGACCAAGTAGTTAGCACATTCCTGAAGCAAGTGTTGTTTTACTTAAGATGAGTGATTTTTCTTTAAAGATTTTTTTAAATTCATCAAGTTCAGTAAAAATTATGTTTCAGTACTATAAACTGCCAAATATAAAAATGAAAATAGACAAGAGACAACTGAATAGTACTCTATAAGCATTCTAAGGTGTATAGCAGCTGGTTGTGTATAAACTAAAATCCAAAAGTCAATGAAGTTATCAAAAGATGTGGTTAAAAACTTGCATCTTCTAACATATTGGTCACTTAATATCATGTCAGTTAACTCCATAATATTGTAAATTGTTGTTGATGTTATGTTGTGGCTTTTCATTGGATGGGATGATATTCTGCCAGCTCTACTTTTAGACCAGAGATGGTCTCCCCTGTTGAATTTATCTGGACAATAAGATGCTGGACTCTATGCATGGTACATGCTTGCAATGAAGGAATCATGACTGCATTTGAACTGTACTACTGCAACAATGTGGAGGAATCCAACATGGGGAGAGGGTATGGGATGGGGTTGGGGGAATCCCAGAACCTATGAAACTATCATAAAATGAAAATTAAATTTAAAAAAAGATTTAAAAAATTTTATTTTGGAAATCAGATATACAGAGAGGAAAATAATTCTGTCCACTATTCACTCCCCAAGTGGCTACAACAGCTGATGCTAAGCTGATCCAAAGCCAGAGCCAGGAGCTTCTTCCAGGTCTCCCATGCAGGTGCAGGGTCCCAAGGCTTTGGGCCGTCCTTGACTGCTTTCCCAGGCCACAAGCAGGGAGCTGGATGGGAAAGGGGAATGCCAGGATTAGAACCAGTGCACATATGTGATCCCAGCACATGCAATGTGAGGACTTTAGCTGCTAGGTTACCGAGAGAGTAATGGTTTTTTAAAATTAAACTTTTCAAAGTGATATTGTTAAGCAACATGGATATATGATTTAGTTAACAGAAATTGTTGTATGTATGCTGTCAGTGTCTAGATGAACTTTGGAAACTGCCAGTAAGCTGTTACTTTGGTTCACTTACTGTGTGTGCGTCTGGAAACACTTATCCTGGGGTCAGCTTTGTAAGTTGTTAGTGCTGTGAACGAGCACGTGGGTGAAATATTGTAGCATTTTCCATCACCCGTTGGCCACTTTTTTACTCTGCTGTTGCTCAGAAAAAGGATGTGATTATCTACAGTACCCTTTCTCTCTCTAGTTGTAACTGTACCCTCTGGAAACCTGGAATCTTTCCACACAGAGAAGCCAGGCCAGAAGGGGCTCGCACCCTCCCTCTCCTGCGTGCACGTGGAGGAAGGCAGGGGATGGCCTGGCATTCGTTCCTCCACCTTCTGTTGCAGAAGTCTCACCAGTCAGATGCAGGCAGCAATGAGCTGGACTCGCTACTGGATCTAAATAAATGTCTCAAAACATTGTTAAACAGAAGAGCATTCATATACTGCAGTGCTTGTCTCAGTTGAGTAGCCACAGGCTTTGTTTTGGAAACACTTCATGACAGCTGCTATTTAAAAGAAATAGAAGTAACAGAAAATTCAGCTTTTCATGGTGGCAGCCTCTGTAAAGTTCTGTAATGATGTTTGAACTTTAGAGCATTCAGACCGACTGCCTTTTTTGTGAATGCAACCAACAGCTGGCTTTAGGTCTTTCAGAAAATCTTATTATTGTTAGAATGGTTTTTCACCTTAATAAAACATGTGAGTATGAACTATATAGTTTAACGTGTGACTGCTAAGGCTTCCTCGACCTCAGGCTTGTATCTTTTTCTGTCTTGCTGGTGACACATGTAGAGGTTGTACAAGGGAGGTGGCCACAGCACTTCTGCTTTCAAAAGGCGAACAAGCCGTGCTGTTCACTCTGCTCTGTTGTGTTTCGGCAGCACTGGTGTCCTTACATCTGATATGTATAGATGTGTAATTGACAAGTGTTGCGGAGCTTAGAGTTTCTTTGGCATTGTACACGGTTGAGGGGTGTGCTGTGTTTACCGTTTAATGCCCTCCCGCTGAACCTTGTGAATGTTTCTGGCCTTTTACGAACTCTTGGCTTTCCTCCCTTCCCTTGCCTCTCCCAGCCTCACGGGGGCGCTCACGTGCACGTCTCGGTGCAGGCTGCGCTGATAGCCTCCCAGGGCATCAGTTCCATGGAGCTCAGCTTTGTTCTCTGTTACTGTGTTCTGTTTTTTTTTTTTTTTTTTTCTTTTTCCTTTCATTCTTGATGGGTGGTTCCCCCCACCCCCCGTGTAGTGTTTTCGTTATTTCTGATCCAGATTCATGTCCTCAGTAGCTTTTATAATTCATAGTTTTTCTCGACTGCCATGAAAATGATTTAAAAAGAAAAATCCCCAGACAGTGGTTCTGGAAAGTATGACTCTGCAGTTACTTAGTTCTGAGCAGCCAAAAGCTCCTGAGCCTCTGTACTTTAATGAATGATTGCCCCTCATACTCTGTTATCTTTGAGACTTGATGATCTAGAAGATTTAAGAATTTGCCTTATTTTGAACACTCTCTAACTTTATTTGCTTTAGCTTACATCATTATACCTGATGTTTGCCAACATTCGTATTAAAATCATATCAAAAGAGTTAGGAAATATGACAATTTGTGTGACAGTTTATCAGTTTGCTTCTGCTGGGTTCATTTTTAAAGACAGTGATTTTTTTTTAACATTTGTGTTGGGTATTTTTTGCCCTCTTGCCTTTTTAATAACTACAGTTCCCTTGACTGTGTAAAAGTGCTAATGTCTTTTATTTGTCCATCCCAGGGACTCTGCCTCTCACTGTAGCCTCACAGACTAGTCAAATCCTCCGTGTGCACAGGCGTTTTGTTTCATCTGCTTGCTTTCCTCAGGAGTAAATAGTGGTTGAGCAGATAAAGTAATGGGGGAAGAGTGTGTCTTTAGTAGAAAATGTCAAATAGTCATGGCAATATGTGGAATAACTGAGGTTCCCTCTGCTGTGTCAGCCCATTTTCTAGAGATAGGGCCAGCATACCATGGAGTATGCTGGTCAGAATTAGGGTTCAGGCAGTAATGAGAACAGCATACACTCACAGGTTCAAATATACATGGGCATACAGGATCTTACCGTTTCCAGGGAAACACAGTGACATCTGTCAGATACCACATAGTAGTCTAATAGTTAAAAGTATTTATGTCACAACTCAGCATTAAGTAACTGAATCCACTTTTAGGATGCTGTATCTTTGCAGAGGTGGGATGTGGGCCATTGTTGTCAAATAAGAGCAAGGACTGTATGAGAATTCATGTGAAATGAAGTTAGCAGTTTTCCAATTGACTCTAAGATGTGAGTTGTATGTTACCCAGAGGCTAAGTTTAGGATGCAAACGCTTAAGCTTCTGCGTTAGACATCCTTCCTGGCTTAGAGCATACCTGTCTCTTCCCTCTGTCCCTCCCCTCCCCAAAATGACTTAGTAGGAATCTCTGTGAAGAGATCTACTCATATGATAAATTGCAGTTTTGATTACGTGAATGTTTTCTCAACTGAACAGGAAAACTAAAAGTGATAGGCTGGGTAATTAATGTGTAGGATGTGTTGTACATGTGCAGTTAAGCCACTGTTTGAAGTGCACCTATCACAAATTGGAATGCCTGGTTTTGAGTTTAGCTGCTGTGTTTGCTATCCAGGTGCTTTTCCTGCGCATTCTGGAAGGCGGCAGGTGATGGCTCTGCCTCATAAGGAAACCCGAATGGGCTCTTCATCCTGGCTGTTGGAAGCATTTGGAGAGTGAGCCAGTAGATGAAAGATAATCCCTCTTACTGTCACTCTGTCTTTGCAGGAAGTAAGTAAAGAAATAATGAAAAAACAAATGACAGTAAGTAGCATGGTAGATAGAGGAAAGGATGTGGTGATTGTCAGTGGTCTCTAGGGCCGTCT